AGGAATTTTCCTAAATTTTTAACGGTAATCGTTACGTGGTCTCGGCCCGATACCCAAGTCACGCAGCCAGTCGCCAACACGCGGAAGATGGTTGATGCCGTCCACCCCAAACGCCCACCGCTGTGACTCACGTGTACACACACAACCACACACGGACGTGTACGGCTATATCCTCTTCACGTGTCTGTTGCGACGCGAAAATAACAGAATGCAACGGTCGCGTCGCGAGAATTCGATAAACCAGAACTGTCCGAATCTGTATTGTCTTACCCTCTACGATTTACTTATCGCAACCGAATTGGAGAGAAACGGAAAAGAAAGGAAGAACAGAGACTCTGGCCGTGAGCATAGCCAAATTATTAGTCAGGGGTGGAGGAGGGTAAAAATATTAACACATCGACTGCCACAGTGAAAACGGTTGTACGTAGCCAGACACACTTTATTTTGTTTTTAAAGTCATAAATTGTTGAAAATATCTGCGTTTTGTTAATAGAACTGTTGGTCGTGTTTCAAATTGTACTGCAATATTAAATATTACGCGAAAATTTGATATCTCTGGGAAGGAAGGGGGTGGGGCAAAAGCCACCTTTTTCGCAAACACAATACGTAACACTATAATTAAACTCATTAATACAATTCGTCAAAATTATGTCGTCTGCGTTTTCTGTACCGTCCGTCTTTATTGCTAGAAAAAGGCCACTGAAAATACGATCGGCATTGCCACGATTCACTCTTTTCTCTATCACACATGCAACCAACTGCCTCTTGTTATACACAACTCAACCCTTCACGACGGCAATGAATACAAAACGATCACTATCACACATATAAATATAAAATTACGTTCGCAATGATTACATACGAAAATTACCCTACACTAATATTGCTGCTTCTCCGTCAGCGAATCTTAAGCTAGTAGAAGACTGTACGAACCCTATACACATTAGTCTCGAAGACAACGGTGAAATATGGTACATATCGTTGATCTCAGCCGACGTTATCACGGCAAGCGTCTAGATTACGACCAGGCTTCCGTCTCGAGGTCAAGAGAGGAAAATCGAAATCACGGTAATCGTCGGTGGAGGTCAAACGAATACAGCTTTGCGGGAGGAACAGACGACAGGTTTGAATCTATAGGTGTCCCGGGTCCACGAAGGGGAAAGGAGGACGGTCGCTCTGTGGAGCACGTCGTGGTCCGATAGCGTCGGAGAATATCCCGCAAATGGTGCATCCGGATCGTGGCGAGGAAGAGATAGCTGCTCGCCGGGTCTTCCTGCACGTACCCATCGTGTACTAGGTACAGTATCTCGTACACAGACCCGTCTGAAAACGTGTAGAAACTATATACTAGCGGATATTCGCCTATACAGAAACGAACAAACACGCACGGGTAAACAAATGCACGACGGATCGTGCATAACGTCCCGGAGCTGCGCGTCGCGGCGTGGCCCGCCGACACGATACGGTGTCGGTGCTGCGCTCACGACGCGACGCAAAACCGACGCGTATATGTATGTATAAGCGTCGAGGTGGTAGCACGTACTTAAAGAGACAAGCCACCAACGCCGTTACCTACGGCACGATACACACAGAGTCGACGAAATAAGGAGCAGGGCGAGACGTTAGCAGCTCGAAGGACTCTAGAAACTCGTCGAACGTGACGGGACTGGAACTGCTCGGTGAAATTCGCATTCCCGTAGTTTCCTGTCTTCTATAAACTCAGCTGGCTGTCCACCCTTCGGGTGTCGCGCGTCCATTAGCACTGCATCCGACTCCCGTGGGTCGAAACACACCCCTCCAGTCGCAAGACAACGAACGCGCGTATTTCACCGTCAACCGTGACGAGTCACGAGACCGAAATGAACGGCCACTACCGATCCGTCCGAGTTTTCTCGTCGCGATCAAACGCGTAGCTAACGGATAGGAAAAAAGGCCCGGTGACTGGGGGTCTATTGGAGGAGAAGGAATGAATCCACAACGAATGCACTCGAGAGAGGAACTAAATCTCTCGAAGAACTGGAGAGTTCAATAGCGAGTGCGTGATAAAGTCTGGAAGTCGATAAATCTGATCGGTGTCCTGGAAAGTCCGAGCGTGTCGAGGGGTGAGAAAGAGGACGAAAGTGGAAGTAGGAAAGTGGAGTTCGTTAAACGAGCTTAACGTGTGCCGCCGCGGTAAAGCATTACTTCCTCGACTAACGGGCCGTGTTGCAAACCCTATTAGCAATATATTTTCTCGGTCCACCGGATTCGCGAGTCGGCCATTGTGCCATCGTGCCTTGCCAGCGGCTAAACGGTTTACACGCTGTCGTTCAGCCGCCCCTGTCACGAAACCTTCCACCTTTCGGTCCCGCGGATCGAAATCTCTTTCACAGCTCTCGTTCGTTTCTCCGATCTGTTTCTCGCGTTACCTCAGGATATAGAGGTTTCTTTGTACGTACCAAGAGAACATCGAGAGACGTCGAACGCGACAGAAATCCCAACGAGAAGATCTTTGCTCTCGGGAAGTTTATCCACGGTCGAGACACGATTTGAAAATATTTTCGCAGACTTTGTCCCGCGTTTTCGGCCAAGCTCCGAGGTTCCTCGAGATTGTTGAAAAAAATACGATCCCGTAGAGTGAAAGAACGACGAGCACCGAATATTTAGCCGTCGGATTATCACGGTAATTTCTGGTTTTTCGCATCGTCCGGGGACCACGGTACCCGTCGAGCGTAACACGACTTCGCCGGAATATAAAACTTTACGATCGGAATTCGTCAGAAAGTCTGAATAATGGTGTTCATCGGAATAAAAGCGGGAAAGACCGTTCTCTGTGAAATCGCTTCGCGTAACCCAGCCCATTCCATCCCATCCCATCCGATCCCTTCTTACGCTTTACGAGGTTTTCCTGCCGGTTCAAGTGAACGCTGGTACAATCTGTCTGTATAAATGTACTGATTATGAAAACACGCGAAAACCGTGACCCAGCCTCTCGTACATTACTCTTCCCCCTTTCTCTTTCGCTCTGTTGTCGGTACGCGAAAACCGTGACCCAGCCTCTCGTACATTACTCTTCCCCCTTTCTCTTTCGCTCTGTTGTTCTCTCGTTTACCTATTTCTTTCGGAATAGATTACCTACGAAATAGAGTACACCTGTTGTACGTTGCGACTACACGGACCGCAATGTACCGTCGCTTTCAGAAACCATAGAAACACGTGAATCCAAATACGTCGTAGTCTTCGTGAGGCGTACCGATTTCTACGTTCTACTTGCGTCCGCCGAAGAATATTTCTAAACGGGTCGTTCGCAGCAGATCCTCGACGACAAGGAAACGGAACGGAATGAGACGCGTCGATATCGTGGTTCCAGAAAATAAGAAAACCGGGACGAAGGATCCCGCGGTGTTCGAGAACCGTGGTGTTCGGAATCGGAACTGACGGGAGAATAACTTAAGACCACGTGCAACGACAGGATATTCTCCTTGAAAATTGAACGTTCGACCGGGAACAATAGAACGGTGTTTTCATAAGGAAACGACTCGATTCTCGAAAGAACAATGGCATGGCCGACGAACATTGAGTTGCAAGAAAAAGGGTGGGTGTCTCGAGGCGGTGGATAAACGCGCTATAAAAGGTCGTGAATGCCGGCATTAGCGACGCTAAACCGCCGTCCTGGGCGGCCCGGCTGTAATCTCGACCAAGATTACGACGTCCGTCCGTTGCACAGACTCCAGGGATCGGTGAGTCTTTCGCATCCAAGACCACTTCGTCGTTTCCTCTTTTCTTTCGCTGCCACTGCTCATCACGGCGCCGAAACGGCAGTCGTTCTCCGGAGAAAGGATGTCGCAACGAGAATCCTTTGCATAGGTACCTACCGTATCGTCGCGTTACGCGGATCGATCCACGCGAACGATCGCTTACGATTTTACGGCTTTTCGAACAAATACGATTATGTGGGATCGGGAACTCCATACCCAACAAAGGAGCAAATAACATCTTTGTAAAATAGGAGGGTTCCGTGGAACAGTGGGTAGAGTCTCTGCTTTCGGCGCCGGAGGTCGTGAGTTCGAATTACGCTTGGGACCTTTCATTTTTCCAACGCTCCTACATTTGGGGGCTCGTCCGGGATGGAGGCATCTACGACCACACGAGGTGACGACGATGACGAAGAGAGAGGCACGTCTCTCAAAAAAGTAAGTCGAATAGTGGAGAGAGTGTTACCGAAAAGACGAGGAAAAAAAGTAATAGAATTGTACCTCTGTTATAAAGTCTCATATAAATCCGAATAATCGTGTGAGTTTCGATCACAAAACCTCTTCACTTCGTACTCGAGATAAAAAATGATAACTGGCAAGAGCCGTAGGAGACAAGGAGCATTCGAAGGTGAGTCGAAAAGATCGCGTATCGAAAGCAACTCCAGCAACTGGACGATGGAACGACGAACGTTTCAGAGGCTATTGTTACTGTTACTGTGTCTCGGTACATGTACACAGTTCTTTATCGCCTCGCCATCCAAAATATACATAAACGGGTACCGTTTCTCGTGACTTTGCTAAACTTGCGAGGCAAAGGCAGACTTTTCTTCTCTCCTGCATGGCACGGTTAAACCGGAGAAAACGGATGGAACTCGTTCCCCGCGTGTACGACGGAACTGGAAGAGATCGCGGTACGTGTATACTTCGAGCCATGACGTTGTCACGACAATAGCCGGAGGCAATTTCCACCGAGCATCCAGTGAAGCACGCGTCAGGTCGGGATGAAACTCGGCCTGTCTGCGTTCACCGCGGTTGGTGTATCGCGAACCAAGCCGGGTTGATGAAAGAATCGAAGAAAAAGAAGGAACGAGAGGAGAAAGCGGGAGCTTCGAGTCGAGTGGAAGCCATTTTCCTTCGCGTCGCATCGTGTCCGAGTCCGTGTCGCGAGGTCACGCTCCTATTCCGTTTCCTCCCTTCTATCGTTTCCATTCGACGCGTCGTCTCGGATCTATTAATACTCGCGTCTTTTCTGTTTTCTGTTCGCAGTACCACCAGCCAAGCCGATAATCTACGACGCAAAGAGGAGGGACATGAGCAAACTCCTCGAAGCGTATCCGGAAGGAGCCGATCTGTTCCTTGTCTGCGAGGTTCACGGAGGTGAGTGTCAACCGTCCACTTTACATAGAAGATTAACGACTAACGTCATTCTCGTTTGTTTCGCGTATGCCCGTAAATCTTTTTATTCGACCAATCGCCATTTGTATCGCGAGAAAGCAATCCATCGCGGTGCAGTGCGGAGTTTCGTCCGCATGTATTAATTAGTTAGAGGTCGACGAAGCTCCGTCCCGCTTCCAATACCGATCCTAAGAATAATGGATCGCTTCTAGACGAAACTGTTTCTAGGCGATGAGCAGAACGAATTATCATAAGCAGGTGCGCATCATTTATAAAAGACCCGTGGGTAGCATCCGCCCATCCTTCACACTCGATCAAACTGTACGGCGACAGCGTTGAACCGAGGCTTTGCTACTCCGGAAAACTTGTTCGCCGACAAAGTTTAATAGAAAAATGCCGCCTCCGCTGGCAGGAAGAAATTAAACGACGCCGTACATTTATCACTATCCGCTCTCGAGCATGCTAACGATACGATCGGACAGATTAGAAGGAATGTTTGGCGAAGATGCTACTCGAGGGGTAAAAAATGTCGCGAAAGGCGATATAGCGAGTTAGGACGAACGAATCGCGTTTCGCGCAGTAGTTCTTATCTGCCGGGGCCCGGCATCTGGCAAGAGAGAAAATCTCCACGCGTAAGCGATCGCGCGTAAATCGCTGGAGAAGAGATTGCGGAGGCGCAAACGTCTTTCGAATCTTGCGTACCGAACGGGAAATCCTATTTCCTTGAACCGCGAGTATTCACTGGCGCGAGGCCAATTCCATTTAGAGACGGTGCGGCGCGCGACGTTCGCGTACTCTCGAACCAAGCACGGAACGAAATAGACGAAGTGGAAGAAGGAAGAAGACGACTGGCGAATGAAGAAGAAGGGAAGCGAAGAAGAGGCTAGAGGAGTAGCCCGACGGCCCGGTTTTTCCTTCCGAGGATTCTCGCGGAGCTGGGTGTCGCGTCGCGCGATGAATTCTCTGGAGCACCGCCAATTTTAATCCCCGAACACTGGCATTCTAACGACAAGATCCTCGATCTCGCGAGACATTCTGCCCCGCGTCAACATATCCAACCTTTCGTCGGCCAATCATTGTCCAGCGAAGCCACGACATTTGCGACGAAAGCGCAACCAAGAACAGTCTTTCCGAATGTGACAGTCGCGTGGGAGACTGTTTTCGAGTCGATACCCGCGATTTTAAAACACATCATGGTCTCGCGAACTCGCAAACTCGCGAACTCGCGACGACAAAGAGCCGGCTTTCCATCGAACTACCAGTTTGACCTTGTTTCCCGACACAAATGACCGGGACTCGATGAAAAATCTGTACACGTTCGAACCATAAAGAGGAACTCGCGATATTCCATGCTCTACATAAAAATTCATTACCTCGCCAATTTACGAATGCGTGTTACGTGAATTTCACGGGGATACAACACTCGAGGGATCGAACAATCTAATAACTAGACTGCGGATTTTCAGGTGCAATGTGTTTTTTACTATATTATCAGCACAATAACATATTCCAGAGAAGAAAGAAATTCCTATCTTTGCTGTTGTATTAAAAAATTACTTTAAAAAGTGTAATTTTGCATAAAAATCGACAGTCTACTAATAACTGTCGATCGATACCACCTATGATGAACCCAGATGCGTTTTCGTAGGCCATTAATTGCTGCAAGTTTTTAAGAGACTCGTCACCTAATGGAACACACTTCCCAAAATATTTAACTTTCATTAAATGTCCGACATTACTTTGAATAATGGAATTGAGGAAATTAACGCGGAAACTTGGCGTCTGCTCGAACTTTCGTCGATTCGGCAAGAAATGTTCTTCGAATTTTTTTCTCCTCGAGCCACGAGAAAGGGTGCAAGGCACGCGCTCGCTGGCAACCGGCGATTCTTCCAGCCAGCGATTTGTCGCTCGACGGTGAAACCAACTTCCCACTTAACCCGACAGTTTTCTTCTGCAAGCACGCGTTCGTTCGTGCCGTGGACAGGTACGGAAAGGGTCGCGATGTCGATGAAATTCTGAAATAAACGAACACGAGGAACTGCGGCAAATCCGACGAGAGCTTTTTACGAATTTATATTTTCCTGCCTGTTTACCTTCCATGTTTGGTGAATAACCCGTTTCATATTCACCGGAGAAGCCAGACTGCCGTCTGTTTACACGGCGACGCTTCGGTCGAGAGTGTGTTACATAAATTCCACAGATAAAGACATTTGATGGGAAAAATCTCGTATCAACTATCACGATCGTTCGCGTGCAGTTGGTACTCGAAGGTATACAGGATGTCCCAAAATAGTTTCGCCTCTCGGAAATGATGTGTTCTTGGAATGAATTGAAACAACTTTTTCCTGAACGAAAGTGTTATCCGAGGCTTTGTTAACGAGATATCAACGAAAAACCCCGACCAAACAGAGCTCAAACGTCTCAATCAACGTCTCGAACAAATCATATACAAAACGGAACCACCCGAGTTCTCATTAGAAGCTTTAATTTATTTTACTGATCACGGAACGTATCGTTCCACGAAACCTTTGTACGATGGACCGAAGGATGAAAATTAATCGGTAACGATTAACTCGGATCAAGTTCTCGTTACGAGAACAAGCACGTAAAATTCTCGATGAACGAACCCGCGATCAACGATGCGCGATCGAGAAGCTTAGTGTGTACGAGCGAGCGTCCATTTTAATCGCGTTTTGTTGTTACACAATATAGGTACTTACTGTCTTCAGTCTTTTCCATGCGTCACCTTTCCCACGTACACAAATACATACATACATACATATTTACATACTACCTTTTCGCAGCATTGTTCGAGTGTCATCCCTAAAGCAATTTTGCAGCGACGCGTGGTAAAATGTTTGTTTCAACGTGGCCTATAACCCGCGGGTATACATACATATGTATCCGTACACAGAAACGTGCATACATACATATCTATACACGCCGCACCGCGTTTTTCATTCATTGTTCCCACGCTTCGTTCTGGTGTTATGGCGAAATATATCGAGCAACCTCTGACGGTCGATAGGCGCTGAAATTTAAAGGGTCGACGATCGAAGGTAAAAATGAACCTTCTCGGAACTGAAAATCGAGTGTTACGGGGCAGAAGTTTTGATTACCGCGAACGAGCTTGTTTGCCATTAAAATGTTAGAAGCAGTACCACTGGAGCAACCGTACTCCAAATACATGCCACGTATACTACCCCTATCAGACGTCGTTAAGACTCTCGAAACGCAGCAATAATCGAGGTATTGCCCGCGAGGTGCTACTCTTCTGAACGATCGCGTCGCCCGCAATGAATACTTTACACATGCCGAGAAGTTCTTGGAATTACTGCTTCGTTCCTCGCCGCATGCCGGCGAACGCGAATTTACGACGAATTAAAATCAGAAAGACGTCATTCGCTTTCCCATAACAGGTTTCGGCGGAGAATGGAATCATCTGGGCTCGTATAAATGTAGCGGACACAGTCGAGAGCCACTAAAATTCGTTTCTTATTGTGTGCCTCCTTCGCTGTCGCGTAACATTATTACGACCGAGTCGTATCCAGCCCGCGAACCTCGTGATATATACCTGCGCCATCCATGATACCAGGTGGAAGCCCGGAGAGCAATAAAGATCCTCCTACTCCTCCTCCTCTTTCCTCCGGCAATCCCTACCACCCTTACTTCCACCTTTTCTACTTCCGCCTCTCACAGAGGCAATGAAATAATTCCCCGCGACGCAAACCGGAAAGTCGAGAGCGTGTGACATTCACCCTCGATTCCCCTTTCCACCAGTACGGTTCGTTCCCTCGGTCTCTCTTTATCTCTCCCTCTCTCCACCTCGGCTTCACCACTCACCCTCTCACCATCCAGCTGCATACTCTAGAATCTAGAACTCTAGAACCTAGAATCTAGAAATCCCTCGCCTCTGTCGGTTTGTAGACCCAGCTACACTCGCCTTTTCTGGCTTTTCGAATAAACTGGTTCTCGACCAGCTCGGGGAAACCGGATCCCCGCGTTACTACGATAATTCACGCGCGGTACACAGCTCACCCACTCGATCCGACCGAATTGTTTTACATACGCGCAGCTACATATTTTCAAACAAAGTAACACGAACAACGTTAATCGCAGAACGAGCAAACGAAAACGTTGCTGTTACCGTTGCTATCGTAAGTGTGATCGTAGAATACTCCGTGTTTGGAAACTCGCGGTTTTCGACAGTTATGCCCGGACGTAACTGAATCGCATATCGCTTCTAGTTTGCGCGTGTTTGCCTTTTAACTAAAACCCAGAGTCGAGCGGTAATTGGGCTCTCGGAACGAAAACAAGAGACTCAGCACGATCACGAAATGCATGCAAGGATAACATGTAGAATTTATCGCGTTGCAAAAACAACGTATTGTCTTGGTCGTAGGTAAACATGTTACTCTGTATGTGTATGTATATGTAGAATTAGCAGCGAACTTCGAAACTTCCATCCTCGTCGATCCTGTCGATACAACCGTCGCGTCGGTCCTGCTGTCAATTAAAATCGCGACACCGTGGAATCTTCAGAGACGCGGTGGATTATGTGTACCCAGTGAAAGGCACGGTGCTCGTGTAATTACGAACGGCGGCGTTTGTCAATTCCTAGACGACAAGTTTACGCGAATAATTAACCTGGGAAATTAGGTGTCGGCGCAGACGGGTACCTACATCGGGGCCAATAAATTGACGAGCGGACGCCGAGCGGTTTCCATTGCGATCGCTATTCCCGCGACCGGGTAAGGCACGTCGAGCGACGTGATTGACGACTGGCTCGCAGCCTCTGATACACGTCCGTAGACAAGGACACAGTTCTCGGTGCGTCGTCTACTCGGATTGTCCTGGTCGACAATCAAACTGTTTGCCATGGATAACCGATAGAGACCATTCCCCGAGATAGACACGCGGAAGACCCTTCGATCCGGCTCGTAGTGCAGGTGATACGGTGTACTCCGTTACAGACCTATCGAAATTTCAATTCTGATGCGAAGAAATATCGAAACGCGTGAATTACGGTGTATTTCATGGATTGTTTGTCTGTTTCGATCTAGGTAAGCCCAGTCCCCGTGTAACGTGGTATCTGGAGTCAGAAGTAATCGATACGCCATCCGAGGTTCGGGAAACCCAAGGGCCAGCCGGCGAAACCAACATCGTAACCATAAGCAACGTGACGCTGAGGGGTCTCACGAGAAGACACTACCACGCGAAATTGTTCTGCAAGGCGAGCAATACTCATTTAGCACCGCCGCCCACCACTGCCGTCATCATCGAACTTTACAGTAAGTGGATCTATCGCTTTTCATTCCCGTTAATTATTAACGACGGCTGGGCTAGTGAACTGTATAAAGGAAGCAAATTAGTCGGTGTCTGTCGACGAGGTCCTCGTAAAGAGACCCGCTGAGCAACAATACTCGCGGTTCACCGATAAAGACGCGCACGCCATCGACGTCATTATCGTTTCCAAACCGCGCTGCGAATTGAAAAGGTAGATCGGTTTCCAAGTAATGGCAATTAACCCAGATCAAAAGACAGGAGATTTCAATAACGCTGTTTAATCTGTTTACGAGTACAATGGGTAATTTTCTTTCACGATCAGCCCGTAAAAGCCGACCCGGTTATGCTAACGAAACGATCGATAATATAATCGACGACGCCGATTAACCGTGAAACACAGAGTCGCAATGCGTTTCAGGATAAAACGTTTGACTCGCCACAGAAAATTCGTTGCATGTTCACCTGTTATGTGTACATATATGCATTCGTACAAGCGAAACGAATTCTATTTTCCCCCATTTTTCCCCCACATCTCGTACACGCTATACCGCGTCGGATAAAAGCGATCGAAGCACTTCGATCGAGAGCGAAGCGTATCGAGCGTTTTCGAGCGTTTTCGAGCGGCCTTTTTTTACGATTTTAACCCAGACGAGAGTGAATATTTGTAATAAACGCGCCGAAAATTCCGAGGTATTTTCTCCGCGAAACGTCCGCGTTACGAATGACCATCGAAAATGGCAATATCAGCGACAATACATATTATACCCGTAGTTACATCCGATCGGATGAAGCTGAAACGATTTACCAGCTATTATAACGGAATCGGAGAATTACTCCGATGTCGTTGATGACGGGACTCTTGCTTCATGTTCCCTGACATAATCGATCTTATTCGGGGGATTGATGTGAATTCTGCCATGCGTTCGATCGCCAGAACTCAATGAAGAAAATTAATCGATGAGTAGGTACCGTGTTTGTGTTTCCAGCCGAACGGAGGTTTCATCAACGAGACAGATGGTTATTTCTTCGTTCGCGCTTTATCGATCGATATCTTGTCGATATTCAGCCTCGAATATTTTTCGAACTCGTCCAGCGAAAGAACGAAACGGACTTCTTTCGGATTCCTGGCTAGCATTTTGCATAGTTGGTGATTCGATTAAAAAGTCTCCAGTCGATGTCGGGAAATTAATATTAATAATTTCATAGGCACCGGCCCGCTGGTTCATCGGTGCGCTCGAGATTCATCCCCCGCCAACGGGAAACTTTCTCCACGGACAAACAAGTTTAAATTAAATTGCCCGCCGCGCCGCAGGAAGTCTGGCCTGTGTCGGATACAGGAAGAAACCGAACCGAGTAACTCTGGACGAAGGTGTCGGTGTTAATGCAAAAGAGCCGCTTGGGAAATACGCGCTAACTGAAAACCGCTTTTAAAGGAGGCAGAAAATATTCCCCAAGAAGAGGAGAGATTCGACGCGAAGGCGAAACTTTTCGCCACCTTTCGCTTTCGTTCTCCCACCGTTCCCATTTGTCCTCGTCCCTTTTGCCGTCGAAAATATTCGCTTCGGTAGAAAAAGGGAATGCTACGAGAATAAACGCTGGTGTCGCCGGGCTTGTCGATTTTTTACGAATGTCGTGGGGAAAGGCAAACGTCGTCGTTCCCGGTACTCGAGCGACGATTTGTCTTTGTTAAGTCGTGTTACACTAGTCACTAGGACTAGGCGATCGACAAGAGTGTCTTGACTTCGCGGTAAGTGGCGAGCCGCTCGAGAATTTCCTCGTATTTTTCTTGGACGGTGTCTAACGGCCACTCGAAACTTACCGATCCCTTCCGTGCCTCATCCTTCCAGATGAAACATCGAAACTCGTCGTCGCGCCGGTAACTTCGTTTCTCGATCGTTGGTTAATTGGAGCCAGCTTAGATGAGGCACGCCGCGAATAATCGAAAGCCACTCGGTGCAACTACTTGAAAGTCTAACGAGCTAAAGAGGGCGCCGCTGGACGAGCAGACGCGCGCGCCGATCCCATCTTCGAGCGGCCCAAGCCGTTTATTCGAACGAAGCAGGGTGGAAGGGGGATAGCGAGTCCGTGTATAAATTTGCCGTAAATGTTTTTTATAAATATTTCATGACCACCCGAAGATGAAAAACGTTTAGTCGAGCAACGCGAGTCGTCCCTTCACGGACCGTTCAAGAACGTTTCATCGTGTTATACATACATATACATATGTACATAAATGCATAGATATAGATTATATACGTTAGAACAGCTTTGCAAACGATTACGACCGTTCCTCGCGTTCCATTAAAACAACCCAGGGATTCTATTAATGTTAATTGGTACATATCATTATACAGAATCTTGGGCACATTTAAGCAGAGAGAAATTACTTTGAGGAATTAAACGAGTACTACTTTTAAACGATTTTCGAAACACGGAGCTTGCTCCATCGCAAAGGTAAATTCCCGTGAGATGGAGCTTTCTGGAAAATGGAATAATTCATGTTGAAATATGACCCCTCTGTTAGCGGACGCGAGTAGAGACCCGTCAGATTGTACTGGTCGGTCGCAAAGTCCATTTCAAAGACCCGGAATAAACGAGACGATGGGTAAAGCATCGCAGCCGAAAATTAGCCGTTCTTCAATCGACTCCCTCGACCGTCTTTCTCGTTTCTTCTGACGAGACACGATACACGTAACGATATAGAGATAACGATAAAGTCTCCTTGTTTTCATAAATCTTCGACTAATTGGCAACGGCCGACGAAGCGTAATTGCAAATAATTGGACAATTCTTAGTCGACAAGCTTGAAAGTTTAACGAGACGGCGCATGCACGCGACACCGCGCCGACCGAAAACTTTGCCATTTGCATCGAATACATTTGCATTTGGCTCTGTATCGGGAAACGCGGAATTCGAGAATGACGGCTCTATTCGAAAGACCAATGCTTCTCCGTAGATTCGGTTACGGTTACAGCCTCCTTTTCAATTTGACGGCGACCCGATAATTTGCCGATCTAACAAGACCGTCACGTGAAAAGCGTTGGCACCGAGAAAAGGAAAGAACGACCGTGAATCACGGAGACTTCTCCCTGGAACATTCCCATTCGTAGTGGTTCATTTTCATTAGCGCATAGAACATCGGAGAACCTGATACGGGAAAATTGGTGGTCTCCGATAACAAGCCGGTGAATCTTTATATCTGACCAACAATGAAAGAAATCTTATTCAGCGAAAACTCATCGACCAACCGGAGACGTCATCGATCTCCCCTTAATTAGTACGAACATTAACGAGCCTTCTTCCGTGCGAATAATGCAAGGTAAGCGAATGTAGTTTCACGTTCCGCACGAGGAAAACTCGATCGTTAGTTCACAAATCTCGAAAAACACGATTTCCTAGGTCGTCAAAGTTTACACACACACGTACGTATGTATATCGCCGCGAGCGTTCAGAGGACAACGATTTTCCGAATGGAAACGAAACTCGAGACATTTGTGGGTTCGCAGAGTCGCAAACCGAGTAACGACTCTCGAAAGTACCTTCGCCGGGGCATGTAAGAACGAAAGGGTTTAAACGACTGCCAGAGACGAGTGAACTTGGTCGTCGTAACTCGGTGCCCGATAACTGAACCCGCGGGGAGCAAATAATCTTACCATCCGCCCTTACTTTGGATGAATCAGGATAAAACGCGCGTGGTATTAACGAATCAGCGCAATTTCGGTCCAACTACGAACAGCACAGCGACGGATTTCCAAGAGGAACCGAGTATCTTTTCACGATAAGAAGTAAACGATTTAATGCAAACGGAATCGCTGTACGGTAGACCGATCTTATCGGGTCGTTCAGTGTTCAAGTTCACGAATCTTCGAAAAAAAAAACACCGTATTGAATCGTCGATTCGTATAAACGTCGCAAGAAAAAGGGGTTAACAGGATCCTTGATTAGAACGTAACGATGGGAACGACGCGTGCGGCTCTGCCAAATCACGGCAATAATATCACTTAGAATCGTGGCTGGTCTCGAGGAAATTTCACTTAAGTCGACGATTCGCAGGATAGACGCATACGGAATCGTTCCGTAATGTTCGCTCGTTCCAGGACTAACCGACTTAACCTACAAACGAGCCGTTTAAACTTCGCCGGGATTCTTTCTGCTCCCCCATTCGGACGGCCCTGTCTACTTTTCCCCGGGCGTTATGCTCCTTTCCCTCGCACTTCTCACCGCTCGAAGCACATTATTCCCCCGTCACCGAGCACACCAACCGCGAAACATATTAAAAGCGTAAATACGCCGGAGTAGCGACGCGCGGTAAAATGCTGAATCCTGGCCCGATTTCATATAGTTTTTTCTACGCCCTGGTGGCAGCGGCACAAAGGATTACGGGCGAATTTAGAGCACGAATTACAGGAAACAGGGTGGCTCGACGGCCAGCCATGAGACGGGCGCGATGAATATCCGGAAGCAGAACCGACCGCGTTAGAGGTACATACTATACACCTATGTATCGAAATCACGGTTCCTCTCGAGCCAGGCGACAAACGAACTACGATTTTTTATTTACAAACGAAATTTCATTCTCGCTTCCGAGTCTCGTTGGCAATAATTTTCCTACTGTTTTGCCTGCTCCCTCGCGTTTCCTGTGAATTCGATGATAATTACGCGGACGTATACCTGATACAGTAGACTCGCGTTAAAGTAACGGTGCGAGGCTGTCCAGGCGGGTTTTTCTTGGAAACGCTACTTTAACGTGAGCCAGTGGTCACGCAGGATCTCGTGGTAGTCCCGTCGATCCATCTTTCGTTACAAATGGCGATCGATTGTAGGGTGCGCGCACGTGTGTACGTAATGCGTGTGAACTGGAGCGTTCCTACCGCTACTTTAACGCGAGTCTACTGTACTTATCTTTCTTGCCGCGCGCTGTCATCTCAAGTACATCCCATGCTCCTGGCTGTTCCTTCTCCTTCACTTCCATTTTTCCTGCAGTTCCCTTCTCTTCTTTCAGAGTGGTTCGATTCGCAACGAGAACAACGGATCGCTCGCGACCGGTTCGCGTTTTCTCGTGCCTCTTCGAAAATCATGCACAGTCGGAACGGACGAAAGAGGGAAAATGAGACGCGAGTAATCGGCAAAAGTCTTCGTTTCATTTCCGCCGAGATGGGCGAAACGGTGGAAAGTTTTTGTTTGGAGAGAGAACGGGCGGCTGCTGTCTCGAAACACGCGAAACTGTCAGGATCAGTAAGTGCATCAAAATTGTGGACACAGGAGAACAAAAAAGTTCGCCGGAGCATAGTCTGGTTCTGACACAGTTTTCAACCGGCTAGAACGAGGCTGAAGCCCGCTGCATAACGCGTACCTTCCATTTCGCTCGGTTTATTGTTCACCGCGGCGGTAACCGAAAATTTCGTACGCGGAATTCCGCTACGAGCACAAAACATCGCGGAACCGAATTTTTGCATGTCGGTCATCAATCGTTGGATACGCTTAGATCCGTCTAGGCGGCGGGCTGTCGATCCAATTAATGTTAAACCCGCGACGTCGTAATCGCGTGCCATATAATGATCGTCGAAATCAGTCCCAAACGAAGAGCGTTGTTCGTATTTTTTAACATATATTGGGCAATAGATCGTTCTCTAATATTTTAACGAACAGTAAAAAGCAATCGAAGCGCTCGACGCTCGACACTTACGGAACGGTAGAACAGCTGAACGATGTGATTTGACGAACGTCACACCCCGCGAGACATAACTACGGTTATTCAAGCGATCCAATCCGTAGACTCGCCTAGCTGCGGCAAATTTACGTCCGAGCAAAGTTTCCCCGGGTCTTGCACGGATCAGTGAAAAGTTGGAAAATCTTTCGCGGTGCAGCGAGGCACGCTCGCCCCTCCACTGTATTTATCTCTGCCGTCTGAAGCCGAAGAAGTTGCCGAGCGATCAGAATCTTTCTAAGGGCAGAACGAACCGTGGCCTCGTAACGAGCCCGAGCGAAAACTTTTCCGCCCACCGACGTGGCGGCTGCGGCTGCAGCGGCCGGAGACGAACATCTCGCGGTGGGTAAAGTCCCGCGATCGTTAATCGACCCGCTTAAAAGATTCAGCCCACCATCGCATCCTAGTCGTGCTGCACGGAACGTAGAACGGTGAAACGCGTAGACATCAAGTTGCGAACGCTTTAACGGCCGCGAACAATGACGGATGATTACAGACCGACAACTAGGAACGGTCGCCATCCCTTTGCGTCATCGGACGGTTACCGAGCGTGTACCGACCTAGCCGAACGTTTAATTAATGCTCGGTTATTTTCCCGTTGGCCAGACACGTGCCCGCAATTGCGTCATCTAATTAATAATGAATCACTCCCGACGAAAGGTTATCGTGGACCAGATTCGCTACGAAAATACCCGACTCGACGAGTGAACATTGTTCTCCAGCCGAAGGAGCCCCGTTCGGAGAAATAGTGGGACATAATTACTGAAAGGAGTTTCCCCGTCGCAATTGAGACCTCTTCAGGGCCAGGAGCGGAACGTCGCGGCATAATTACCGACAACTTATTAAGTTCAAAGTGTTAGAGCTTCGAGACGGGAAAAGTTCAGCGTCCCGGCCTCGAAGTCGCGTCCGAAACACTTTCCCGGGGGCCGAGTCGAAAAGTTTCGCGAACCAGTGTTCTTTTCTTGCGCTCTCGAAGTGGACCTTTGCACGGTCGGCTGTAGTCTGCTATCGCGGTCCGTTTCATTTAATAAGCTAAACTTCCGTCTGCTTCTCCCTACGTAATTTCGGACTGCATGCAGCGTATCCTTGAAAGATAAGGAAAGAAATCCATCGGACCATTCGACCAGCATACCTTTCGATTATTCCGGTTTATAATCGTTATCGCGAGTGAGCATTCCGCGTTCGGAAAGCTAAGCAAGAACCCGCACGCATGCATTCGGTCCTGAAGACTGATATCACCACCGTTCCTTATTCCGCTAGTTCTTGCGCTAGTTCTAGCATCTTTGCGAATTTTCCGCGCAGGGAAGACCTGGGTAGAAAGTAACAGTTTTTGGTTTTCATGAAATAAAAAAGTCTACATTTTAGCTAGATATTTCATGTTAACATCAGAATTTTGTCAGAATAATTATCAGAATTTGTTGATAATTTGTTGTCACAGTGCTGTCTCTTTTATTTAAAAAAATTCAAAGCCCTGTTACAACCTACCCCCGTTACTATTCACCCCGGTTTCCCCTACCTATATACCAATCTTCAGGACAAGCGTCGTTCGAAAGACGACATCGAACGAAGGTCGTGATTTAGCCGACCAGAGACGACAATCAATCCTTTGACAGATGCATTTTCCGATACCTGTTTCCAGTGAAGCCGCCGCAAGTCGAAATCATGGGAAAGGACGAGATTCTATCGGCGGGTAGAAAATACGAGACTAGATGTCAGAGCACGGGATCCAAGCCGCCGGCCGTTTTAACCTGGTGGAAAGCGTCGAAACAGCTGAAGAGTACGATCAAAAACGTGAGTAACGCCCACCACATTCGAATCTTTACGCTTGATTCAACTTGAACGCGCCTCGAGTACTCGAGTACTCGTGTACCCACGCGTACCTCTTTTTTTTTTCTCCCTCTCTGTCTCTCTACCCCCAGTTCTGTTCCCCGTTCGCGGTACCAGAAATGAACGTTTCGTCGCTTTTTAATAAGCTGCGGTAGACAAATGCGGCGGCAGCTTCTCCAATGACAAAAGGGTAGAGAAAAAAAGAAAAATAGAAAACCGTGCAGTGATGTGACCCTCGACAACGGCACGACTTTTAATGTTTCCACGATGAGTCTGAGCATCGTTGACGATTGGTACTGGCCCCGTCAGCAGCCCGTTCCAGAAACCATTCTTCCGCTCTTTAGAAGAATAATAATGACGGGGACTCGTTAACGATACTCGGGGAAAGAAATAAAGTTGGAACGACAGGGCGCAACCGGGGATTCAGGAAATAAATTTCTTTCTGCCCGGTTCCCGTTCCCTCGCATCTACCAGTAGTAGACTACTACGCGTTCGACTCGTTTGCGTTACCTTCACCCTCTGGCCCCACCCACCATCCGTTCCTCCACTCCACCGATCGAGTTCCAGACCATTAAACCTTAAGATCGATCCTCCCTCCAAACAACGAAATAGAAACGTAAGGGCGGATCATGCTGGATACCCGTTGAGCTCGAACTATCGAACGCGTAACGGATACGACAAGGGCAAGGTCGTTCGTTCCGTAGCTGAAATTTTCGGCGAGTTCGTCGAACCGAGGCGGAGTCGATAAAATCAGCTGGAAAACCCTCTATGGTTCATCGAACGCGATATTGAGGCGAGTAAATGAATATTCGGGTGGAAAGTCTAACGATATTGTTTCCCCGTGTATCCGTGGCGTAGTTAACCGGAGAGATTGAAACGTTAAGCAGTTCTGCATCTCGTACGGGGCATACTCGGTAATTTAATAATTCACGCCGCTAGAAAATAGCGCGTTTGAACGACGGACAAACTTTAGTTACCGAATATTAATTACTCTACGCTCCGCGATGAAACGCTACGGGGCGGGAGGGGTGGGGGGATGTTCTCGTCGAATTAATAGCGGGACGTCGCGTTTTCGGGAAAACAAGGAGACGTTAGAAACTTTCGTTCGGGAATGCGTATCGCTGGACGCGGTACGCGCACGATCCTCGAGGATCTTTGACGTAAATATAGGTAATTAGTTTGCAGAAATTGGACATCGTTACCACGGAGCTTGGGGCGATAGACACCCTTGTGGACGTACGATGTCGCGATCGATTTTCATTAAGAAAATATGGGCCAAGTTGCTTCGTGAATCGAAAAACTTTTACCGATCGAAGATCCCCGGATTGCGTTCGAAACGAACCAAATGTTCCCAGAAAGTGTTAGACAATTGGATGGGAAATAATCGATAGTTAAGATATTCAAAACCGCGGCGCCTTGCTCTTGGATTCGGAACAGACTGGTAGGCTGGTCCGTGAGCTGAAAAAATCACAGGCGGCGCGTACGTCTCTGCTAAATACGAGAAACCCGACACAAAGCGGTAAAGGAAGAAGAGGAAAAAAAATCGTGCGGGGACACACAATGCGGCAGGCGTGGTGGCGTGCCAACGACATGGTCGCTCGTAACTCTCGTAGCTTCCCGCTTCTTACGAATTAATCTTGGAAATTCCCTTCTCGTTCCGCTGGTCATAATTTTCAATCCTCGGTAATCACGAGAATCTTCGAATTTTTGCCGAGTAGATTCTACTTAAGTTCGTATCGAACTACTCTTCCGTTTGTAAGAATGACCATCTTATTCTGCAGAAGGGCAAGTTCCAAAATATTCCGCCGGTGTAAAACAGCCTCCAAAATTGCGCACAAACCCCTGTTTTTATCAGACACGTTCTAGCCTCGCGATCGACGGCGGTCGTATTTGAAAAGAACAAAGAAAGTAGAGAAAAAAAAGCCGCTTGAGGCTTCTCGTGGAAAAAAAAACAGAGGAAAAAACGTGTGCTCCCCGACCGAGGTATTGTAGGACGCGTTAAAAATATTGTTTTCTTTTTGTCTTTTGTTTTGTTTTTGTTCGTTCGAACACGCTATGTAACCAGACTGGGGCTCGTAATGAAAATAACCCCTCGGTCGAATGGCAAGGGTACGTGTAATTAATCGATACCTCTTAATCACGATTTCACTCGCAATTTCATCGACCAAGGGGCACGCAACGATACCGCCTATCCCCTAAATTTCCTTTCACTCTGTGCGTACTACGTTATACATTTATGTGATTACATACTACATAAGATCGATACAAACCTCGAGGATAACAGAAAGAGCAGAGAGATGTGAAAAAAAAAGAAGGGAAAAAAAAATGTATCATGCATCGTAAAGATACTTCGAGAAAGGAGCCAGACATCGAGGAATACGAGTACGTCACGTTGACCCATGTAAAACCACCGTCTTTGATCGGGTATCTCTGGGACAGAGGTGTCTCTCTGATAGGCGGCTCTGAAACAATCTCGTTGCACCGTCGAGAATTCAACGATGGATCGATGTCGTGCCATAGACGTGAAATGGGGACGCCAGATTTTCCGACCGACGAAATTCTCGTCGAGACGAGGGACTATTCGAAAGAACAGCAACGTAACACTGACATTTATGAACCGGGGAATGTTACAAAGCATTAGACATCGATATCACAGGGAATAAACTGCGGAGTACGTGAAAAATCAATTCCCTCGTCGCGATTTCGTCGAATAGAAGAACGAACGGAATTTTCCTTTCAATTATCTTACCGCAAGGCTGAAAAGAATGTTCGCGGAGAGAGCGGATGTTCCGACGGAAGCATTACTTAAGTAGCGACGCGAATAAAGAATCTTCGCTTCGCGTAGGTATTGGAAACACGTTCGCGGAGAAACGCGAAATCGAAGGAAAATTCAGAAGACAAACGGGGAGAGTGGTAAAGGGGCGTGAGGCGATTAAAGAATCGGGAAGAAGCAGACACGACGCGCGGGGATATCTGGACATTCAACGGCGCGTTTCGTGATTTATTTAAAGAGAGGAAGAAATTAATATCGAGCGTCGGGCGAGCATCGATACGCACGAAGAACGCAAGAGTTGCGGGATGATTTATCGTCGGGACGATGTTGCCGTTTCGAGTGAATTAATAGTTCCAGGGAAATGACAGACAGCTTGATAATAATTTATCGGGTGCGTTCATGTAATTGCTATCGAACCATCTGGGAGCAACTGCATTGATAACGGGTCCATCGGTAACCGTCACCAATTCCCCTCGTACAATGATCGAGGAAGTGAAGTCGTAGAACGAACGTGTCGATCCTGCGGACAACTGTCAGTTAACGTGTCGTTTACGCCGTCTGCAGTTAGATGGTCTAACGATTAGTAATCCACGATAATGACAAGAATATCGAAACGTTTCGAGGAACGAGGGAGGACTCGTTGGAAATGTGGGAAGAATCGGAGTATGTATTTCGGAGGCGGAAGATACACGTCGACGGTTAACGAGGGGTGCATTTTGGTAGAACAAAGCGAAATCACTCGGTGCTGCTTTGACCGAAAAACGAGGCGATATCTTTGTGCGGACTGCTGCAGTTCGATCAAAGGGCCGAGTAACGTGGAATCGACGAGCAAAATTTTGTCGAATGGTAAAAAAAATCTCCTATATCTATTTCTCGTGGTAAATGGAAAAATTCATAAAAACGTATGTCGTTGAATAAGAGAGTCGTTTCGAGCATATTTAGGATGCCTTCGTTAACAAACTATACCACATACGACCACAAGAATTCGTAGGATCCATTAGTCAAAACAAATAACATCGTTTTACGTTGTACTTATCACGCCAGTACCGGTGACAATGAGAGTAATAGCGGAACTGAGATAATAATTGTAATCATTCGTCGATGAAACGCAAAAATCGGGTCTCTTTGTTCGATGCTCATCCTCGACGAGCCACCGTCGACCAAATAGCAACTCTGACGAATAAATAAAAATAAACTGAATGTTTTTAGAATGGGAAAATTTCGGTTTTACTTGAATTTTAGGTGACTACCTGCCTATCATAAAATAATACCCTGGCACAAGGGTTGTCCCATATGCATCATGAACTCGGCACAAAAGTGGCAATATTTGACTACCTGCGTCAGTATCTGTTTGTGCGTTCTGCTGTGCGTATCGCTGAATATATTCTTGGTTCGTGTAGTGTGGTATAGTTTGGTGACGATATTATCAAAAGGTAAGTAAACATTTCAACGTATTTTGTTTAAAAAATCCACGAATACGTTGTGAGTCTGATCACAATACTGATGAGAACCCTGGAATTTCTTTTCTTGGATTAGATTTTTTGTTTCCGAATAATAAAATAAGAAACTGTGTTATAAATTGTCATTGAATAAAACACATGTTAATCATATTAAATAAATCACGTACTAATCAATTATTTATTATACTGAATTTCGTAGTTTTCATGATCATAAACGTTGATTTGTAAGTTCATTATTAAAAAACAGAAGTTATAAGGAGCTTACCCTAATGAATTTAATTAATTTGAATTATTCGTCGCAAGAATTGCTATTTGGCCCACTGTGGCGAGCGTTTATTGGTACGTCCGACGTCTGAAGGGTTGGGGAAATATAACCGTTGAGATCGAGGATCGTTCGCGCAAGGAAATCTCGGGAATTTTTATAGGGCAATGGGCTCGCTAACGCCACGTCCGTTGGTACACGTATACATAGATACACGTAATAAATTTCGACGCCGATATCCAGACAATTTTCTTGCGTGGATAGCGACGAAAATGCACAGCGGATGGGGAGGGATTTCACGGTAGGAAAGAAAGAAAGCAAGAGAGATACGCCGGTGCTAGGGGAGGAAAACGGATAGAGTAAAGGTACTCCTCGGACGTATCGTTTTTACGGTGCACCGGCGCTGCGCCGTGAGAGAATCGCGACTGGGACACATAATCCAGCTCTTGCCGACCCTTTAAACCCTGCTGGAATATTTTCCTTGATTCCTTTTTGGGAATTTGAACCAGCCGCTGCGTCGGTCCCGGGGCTAATTTTCATAGAGAAGGAACAAAAAATAGAAGCAACCGGGGATCCTGTCCGGTTGGCGCGGCGGTTCCCGATTTTCATCGCGGTACCGAGAGTGTTCGGTATTCGGAATCCCTGGAAGGCAGAGGAGAAAAACGCGACGGGTAGATTTATCTCCGAGGACCGATTTTCGAGTAATATCGCAACGCAGCTGGCTTTTCCCCGCGGATCTCCGCTTTAAGCTCAAATTTGTAGCAGTTTCGCGTATTATTAGTTCCACGGACTTTATCGCGGCTAGTTATTATCCGGCGGAGTTTTATCGCGCGAACGACCGTCGCATCGGCTACCTGAGATTCCTCGCAAGCCGCGCTCTGGCTCCACCTCTGAAAATTTCCACCGAGAATTACGACCGAGCCACACGTTCCGCCCCTTTCGCTTTGCACATTTATTTTTCCCCGAAGTAATGCGGACATTACGATCTCCTCGTCACGGGTGAGTCTCGGAATTACGAGAGGCAAGGAACAAGACCGTGAAATGGAACGGAAAGAAAGAAATTCGATGCCCGAGGGAACCCGATCCGTGATTTCGGCCACTCGATCCGTCGACGTTCAACGTTACTCCGTTCGATACGGAGAAGATCGCGACCGGTGACTCGGGGAAAACAGTACGGACGCGAAACGTAGGCGCTTACAGGCTTAAAGGTGTAAACGACTCGGTTAGATGGAGCTGTAACGCCGGTATAAAACCGAATATCTATCCGATAGAGGTTCTCCGCCATCAGGAAAGTAAGGAGAGAAGTTAATCCCAGTCTTTCCAGACCGCCGCCACGATACCGTGACACAAAGGGACCGAACGCCACATAAATTGCATCCAATTTCTGTGCTTCGAGGCCGGTGTTTCGCTTCTGTCCTTATCCGAGCTAATCCTTGGTTCAGCCGTGAAAATAATCGGCCGAAAGAATCGATCGATCTTCCTCGATAGAAGAGACACGACAGCAGACTGCTAACTTATCGTTTGAGGTGGCACCACGCCGAACCGATTCGATTGCATTCGACCAAGCTGCGACGAGGTTATAAGCTTCTCTCGAGTTAATCAACTCCGTCGGTGCGCAGACCCGTTCGTTATTACGGGACGATGAATTTTTCGCGATGTCTTTGTAAATCCGCTATCCGCTGCAAATTAATCGTAAACAAAGAGAGGGACCGTTACGGGGAAACACGATACCAATTGACATCGAAGCTACCGGCACTTGCAACATAGAATGCCTGAATAAAGTTTTCCACATCTCACAATCCGAGACAAATAAAAACCGTCGGGTACTATCCGGGATCCAGGATTGTGGTTTTAATTTCCCCGGATGCGCCTCGTGCTTTGACGATTCAATTTTTTCGCGTTCTCGTTTCCTCGCTATTGTTTCCGGCGATAAAGTAAAATCGTCGAGAAGGACGGAGAAACGGGAGGAAGGTGACCGGTCGATACGGGTATACGCGCGCATATTTTCCATACTCAAATCTACATGAATAACGGTCGCGAAATTTCGGCCGTGGCCGTCGCCATAAATTCGCCAGAGAAACGTTTCGGCTCGTTTTCGAGGGGATTCGAAATTCCTGGCGTCGCAACGTGCCCCGTCCCTCGTTTTCGTCCGATACGTGCGTCGCGACACGACGGACAGAACAGATCCCCCGTTTGATCTGACTATCGTGTCGCGTCTACGCGAAATTTGAACTCAAGATTCTCCGTTTATTGTGTAAAAACAGCTGCGATTCAAAGCCTACGGACATCGATGGAACGATTAACAGTACGAGACGAGAAAAAGTCGAGGTTGCTCGTAAAAACTGGGAAATATATCAGCATGGAGAGAGTTCCCCCGGGCGACGACAATTCTCATGGACTAATGCTGCGATTAAATGCAATTTTCAATTTCGTCGCGATTCTAGCGGGAGCTAATCGCTCGGAGATTGCCCCCAGTGCTGTGCGTGAAAGTTCAAGAAATTTCGTTCAAGAACATTGAGAGTATTAAGAGTCGTCAGAGTCGTGAGAGTGCGAAGAATGTCCAGAGTCATTATAGACTGCGAATTTTTATGCAAAATGGTATTTTCTAAAGCAATTCATACAGAGAAGAGCAAATATAGGAATTTCTTTTTTTTCTCAAATATCATATTCGGTTCCAAGTGAACCAAAAAACTTATTGGATCTGATGAAAGTTTTGTCCTTTATTGTATTTCACAGACCCTTATAGGCTATAAATGCATAAAATCCGCAATTTAGTCATTAAAGTGTAAAGAGTCGAATATTTGTTAGAGCGGGATTCTTGTTATTCTAATTAAATATATTTAGTTTTATTTCATTTAAAGTGTCAGAGTGATTCCTTCAATATTATACATATGTATACGTACATATGTAAATTGATAAGAAACGGTCTCTGATCAGTTTCAGGAGGATGGTAGCAGCGTGAGCGTGCTACAGTGGACACCGTCGATCGAAGACGAAGGAAAGTTCCTCGTGTGTCGAGCGACGAATCCGAAACTGCAGGAGACTGGTATAGAGGAACGATGGAAGCTAACAGTCCACTGTGAGTACGTTAATTGCGCAATGTTCAATCATTTATTTATTGGAACGAATTTATACCACAAGCACGAGCGTTCTAAAATATTTGCATGATTTACAAACACATATTCGATAAAATCTATAGAATTTCAATAATGTTCGATACCATTTTTTGCTTGCAAATACATTATTCAAACACAATCATTCCGGTACATATATTGCATAGAACTGCTACAAAATTTTAACCAGACTCGAATAGAGACGGTGGATCGCGACTGAAATTTTAATAACGCGTGTCAATAAATGTTTAACTGACAGGCACTGGTCAACGTTCATTTTCTGGAAACAATTCGTTGACCCAATATTAATTACAACCAATAAGCGTAAACATCATTACCGGCGTATAGTCAGAAACTACGCGCGATGATAGTCAGAAATCTCGACTCGATTCGCGAGAAATATTAAAACTGACTATCACTGGTAAGAAACTGAACATTGCGTAGAAACGTTTGATCGGTTGAAAATCGAAGCACAAGATACGCAATTACTCGACAGGTTTGCACGGTGGCCCGTCGTCGGCACGATACGTTCAATAGAATCCTATCCATTGTTAATCAACTCCTCTGCGCAACTGGGAACATCTGCATGCACGACTGGGGCAAAGACGCGATACGGTTTCATTACGGGTCCTAACGTGGTAATTCGACTCCCAGCAAGGATCCTATGATTCCCGACTAATTCGATGCGATGGATTTCCCCTGACGTACCGTTGCGCTGCGCGAACGACGCACTCGCACACAGGGAGCCTTACTACGAAATTACGCGTTGGCCAATCTGTCCTGCCAACGTTTACCTGCATAACGTAAGCCAGAAGCGTCTGGTAGCTGGTTACAGATACGAGCTATCGTTATCCGTTTATTTACGACCGTGTGTCTGATCGGCCACTCGATGCATCCGCTATTATCCTCGTTCCCAGTGCACGCATACATATATGTGGGAATTTGGCATTAGTCCGACGGATAATACCATCCCCCCCCCCCTACGCTTCCAGGAATCTCCGCAGAACCAACAACTTACCGAAATCGATTTTATTTTCGCCTTCGCGACCAGCTAGCGATTTCGTGTCAGAGTTGGAAAAAAAAAACTGTGCTCTCGGGGAGCAAAGAGTTCGTTCGATCGATCGAAGCAGCGATCCGATATACTATACTACCTAGATGCATAAAAGGAGAAAGAGAAAATCTCGAGCGAGTACGAAGGTACATTATTATCTGTAGATATATACATAGTTTGTCCACGAAAATACAGTATTTGCGACAGAGCACATGTAAAACGGAACTCGTGCGATATGTCCCATGATAAATGAATACCAGGTCTATTTAAAGACGGCACTTGTAACGGTTCGGACGTTTCTCGCATCACGGCTGGAAACGCTTTTAATAACATTATTCGGGGATCAAAGGAACCGGAATAACGTTAAGCCAAGCGTCCTGTGATAAACCTTTAGCGTATTCTCATCGGAGCTGGTTACCAGCGACTTCAATAGCGCAGATCCCGGGTGGATTTCCTCGCGGGGAAGAATCAATTCGGAGATGCGGAACGATGGCCACGATCGGCATAATCTTGCAATAACGGTATAGGCTAACGGTGAACTAAAATTCAAATGCATTCCATTAAGTACAGGCATGCGCGTTATACCAAATGGCTAATAGCAGAAAACGTCTGGAACGTTGATAATAATTCTGGGCAAATTCCCGACACCTGGTCACCGTATCCGTTACGTTTCAGCCGCCGAAAACGGGTCGCGCAGCGTCGTACTGTGTACACCGGTCATAACCGTGGCAACCCTGTAAATAGTTTCGGAGTTATTTACGTGCGCCATAGTTCACGGGTGTGCCGGTGGTACCCAATTCCTTGTTCCTTGTTTCCTGTTCCCTGTATTCCCCGGTTCTTCCGAACTCCGTAAACGTCCCAATAAAATTTCGCGTTTCACGACGAATGAAAAACGGAGGCAGGTGCTCGTAAATACGAGCTGGAGTTGGTGTGCATATGTAAATATCGTTAGCGCGGTCAACGAGCCGGCCGTCTTTAGAAGATGAAAAAAACGAGATCCTTTATCGTGTAAATCACTACCATATTTTAGCATAATCCACTGACGGGGAGCGGTGCAAGTTCCTTGTACGATCGAGTGTGTTTCCGTCGAGAAAATAGCCGACCATTATTGTTATAAACTGGCCCATAACTGTACAGTTTACCGTAGCTAACGATACAGGGACGTGTCCATCAACGTCAGCCCCGAGCCGTCAGTGGTAACGATACGTGCTTCATCAGACATGGCTCGTACCATCGCGACGCGACGTTCCACACACGGTTCGTTTCACTCGCGTCCTCCGTAACGCGTCCGACATACCCCGAGGATCGGCAAATCAGCTGGAGGATTACGCCGACGAAGGTCGAGCGACATGAAAAAAAAAAAAAGGGGGAAACTAATGATGTACCACGATTTCTTGTCCGCGGAACGTTGATAATTAATCGCGAACGATCACACGCGGCCCACCAGGCGATTTCAGTGAAACAAGTCCGTAATATGAGCGACTCGGACGCGAATTTCCAGCGTATCGTCACGTCTCGATTTCGTTCGATGCTTCCTCTCGCCGTGACCGTCTTAGATGACTCGATTGACGGGAGACACGTCGCGTTGATCGAGAAACATACGATCCAAAGAAATCGATTTATGGTCAATGTGTATGAATTTAGCGAACGGTAAGGGAGAAACCTCAACCGTCGACAGAAGGGAAAGGAGAATAGGTCAATGGCATCGGGGTCGTGTCGTGTGGTTAACGATCTGTTCAGTCGCACGCGAACCGTCGTGTCGCGTCTCGACCCATCCCGTCCCGTTCCGTCGACCTCGAATGGAATGCGAGGCATAGCGCGTGTTCATTTGCCGGAAAGCTATTTCCTACCTTCCATTGCCCGGATCGTGGCATGCGCCATACCACGTACTTGTGTTTGTACGAAAATGCGCATACACGCGTTCTCTCATCTGGCCGAGCAATCGAACAGTCAGCGTGTACGATCCGGCGACTATGCCACGATACGTGGACGCATAGAAGCATCCTGGGACGTAGCAGGCGCACTCATCAGATACATATTTATTTATTTATTTATTTAGTATGTAAACTGGCATTGCCCTTTTGTACAGAATTTATAAACATTGTTGTATGACGAACTTCGTGCACAGATGTGTGAATGCGAGGTCCGCTGGTATATGACACGGAGAACCATTAAATCAGTATGTTGTAGGACGTGTATACAAATATTTGTAGTGCAGCTATTGAAAAGCCAAGAGATGAAAACAGTCGAGACGCGTGTGTAACGTAGGGCCAAACATAACGTGTTCCGACGTTAGTTAGGAATTCGATCAGGACTCAGACATATCCTTTCGTAACGTTTCGACAGCTACCGTGGTGGATTCGTGCGTCTTGTTCCGAAACTTGTGTCTCCGAAAAATTCCCGATAAGTTTCGCGTTACCGTTTCGACGCGTTATACCCAACAACGGAACGTTTCCGACATCGAGATCGGCCATAGAATTTGGATACTCTGCCCAAAATCGCGGCGAAACTCGGTCGATTAAGATCGAGGATTTGATTACGGTTAATCGTCGATTCCGGCGATTTCGAAGCCGTTCTTAACGGAAGTAATTCGACCATTCCTAGAATGCCGCGCTCGCGGCGTAATTTTCCTACGGGCGAATCGAGCGTGATTAGCGATCTTCGAATCGTCGAGTCGTCCATAGAGGAGGGAATCTATCGCGATTAGAATTTCGGGATGTTCGAGGGAAGAAATAGGCAGGAAAGGAAATGATTTCTCGACGGTCAGCACTGCCACGAAGCAATGGTGCGGCTCGACGTGGCGTCCACGACAGGCTGCCGCTTCCACAAATCATTTAACGCGGTAAACGTTCGGCGTCGGTTTCACTCGGTTATTTATCGTTGGCCGCGGGTAAAGGCTGAAAGCAGTTACCGAACCATCGGTTATAGGTACGCTAACGTGGACGGTTCTAGACGGATCTGCGTGTATCGTTTCGTACGATAACCGTATCTCCATCTTCGATTTCCCGTCACCATTGGATCGACATTCGAACCGTTTCGGTATCAGATTAACCCCTTGACCTATCATTTTCTTCACGTCTACTGTCTCCTGGATTACATTGTTATCGATAGTTTCACAGAAACAAAAGGAATTCTGTACTTATCGCAACTGTAATTTTACTGTAAAAGTTAAATATTAATACCAGCAACGTGGTTCTTCACTTCGAATCAAAGAAAACCGAATAATATTCTTCTTTGTTGAATCGATTTTCAAAGCGTCAACGCGAGTCTTACTCGATGTTATACGACAAGGGGTTAACGGATTCGGAGGCGTTCGTTGCTGGGAGAACGACGACGCCTAGTCAAGCATAATGGACGAATCAACGATCTAGAAAACAACGACGGTGTTGCTGAAACGACGTCGCGCAATCTTGGCGAGTTAATAATAATAATTTTCGCTTCCGGCAGTAAACACGACTCGGATACACCGTTGCTCGCCAATTATGCCGTTCTCACTACTCCCGGAAAATAGAGAAAGTTTTGAAACGTACACCACGGAAGCTGTGACTCGATTCGACTCGAGTGTTGAATCGTCTAATGCACCAAAGCGAAACAAGCTATGTTCCATCTAATTAATATCTACGACGTAACCGTATGACGAAGCGAAACAGGGAACGAAACTTTGAATACGCACCGCCACGAAAAGCCTCTCCTTTGAAATACAGATAACTACACTTGCTTTCCTACGTCGGTTTCCTGCCTATTTCTATGCGATACAGATTAAATTTCGAAGCTTACTATTCGCAAACGTTACGGATACATATTCGGTGACCGAGAAAACAGGTGATCCCGGTTTCGTTAAAATTGGTCACGACAGAGGATAGCTGCTCGACGACCTTATCGATTTCTGCAACGGAACTAATTTTATTCTCGCGA